CACCCATGATGGACATGATAGAGATTGACACGGGAGACCCTGATGTATTTTCAAGAATGAACTGCTTAGCGACGTATCACATCAACATGGATTGTTTCTACGAGAAAAATCCTATTTAACCCTCCTAACGAAGAGTCTTTTACAAGCTAATAAAAGTTTCAAATATTATTTTTTCATAGCAAGTTCCTTAGTACACAATGCTTTAACTCAATTGTTTTTTATACAATATACAAACTTAAGAAAAAATTTATATTTAAGAGATCCTGATAGTTTGAGATTTTCTGAATGTGTTTTCTGATGAACTTCCCAGAGCACCAGTAGACAAGGAAGTTGAGTTCACCATAAACCTTCAGTCTGGCACACAACCTATCTCAGTTTTCTCTTACCACATAAGTCGTGTTGAGATGGAGGAGCTGAAGAAACATATCAATGAATTATAAGATAGTGAATTCATCCGACATAGTGTGTCCCCTTGGGGTGCTGGAGGCACATTTGTAAGGAAGGATGATGGAACATTAAGATTATCCATCGACTATAAAGGACTGAATAGGGTCACGATCAAGAACAAGTACCCCCTCCTTAGGATCGATGACCTTTTTTATCAGTTACAGGGTGCCTAGATCTTCTCCAAAATAGACTTACGTTCAGGTTACCATCAAATAAAGATCAATGCAGAAGACATTCCCAAAATAGTTTTTCAAATCAGGTACGGACACTATGAGTTCCTAATCAAGTCATTTGAACTAACCAACACACCAGCCATCTTCATGGATTTGATTAACAGGGTTTTCAGATAATTCCTATATCAGTTCGTCAATGTATTTATCGATAATATCCTAATCTATTCAAAAAGTAGAGATGAACACACTCACCATTTGACTTAGGTTTTGCATATTCTTAAAGAAAAAGGGTTGTATGTAAAGTTGAGTAAGTGTGAGTTCTAACTCGAGCAGACTACCTTCTTATGGTACATCATATCAAATGATGGAGTGTCAGTGAACTACGAAAAAGTTAAGACAGTGTTCGGTTGAAAAGAATTGACCTCGATCAAGAAGATTCATAGCTTTTGGGGATGATAGGTTTTTACCGCAGATTTTTGGAAGGATTTTCTAGTTTAACTGTAATGCCCGGAAAGAGGGGAAAAAAAACACGTGCCACGTCAGCAGCCACGTCAGCAGACCCAGTCAGCAGTCTTGGCCAACCAGGACCTGCCACATGGCAAAACCACGTCGACCGGGGATGAGCCACGTTGGCGATCCGCGTGCGCGCGATCGGACGGCCCAGATTAATCGCGCGCACGGACTGCCCAGGTGCAATCGCACGGACGGCCCAGATTCAATCAAAAAACGGACGGCTCAGATTAAAACAAAATGAACGGTTGAGATCAAAAGGCAAAATGGTATAAATAGAACCCCCACACCAGACCACA